GATCGAGTCTCCGCCATCAAGCAATAATAGTTTTTATAGAGTTAGAAGAGCCGAGTATTAATGCTATTACTGAAATATCATAATGGTTTGAAAGAAATATCTCCTAAGAAGCAAGAAAATTATTGAATTCAATACTTATTCCAGATTTTTTTTCTCATAAGAATTTATTATGTAATTATACAACTATTTTATGTAATACTTTTCAAAAACATGACATAGACTTGATTAAGATGAGAATAGCGGAGACCATTTTATTAGAACTCAAGAAAATTAAAGCTAATGTTGATGAAGAATTTCATATTTTATATGTTATTACTTGCAACAAGCAAGCTCATCATCAAAACATTAATATAGGATCAGTAGAAGAGTATTATAAAACAAATGTCCCATATCTTAGATAAATTTATAACCCAGATAAATGAATGGTTATTAATTCATGCAGAACTTCCACAAAAGCATTCCCAACCTTTTTCAGATGGTGATAGAAAAAAAAAATTAATTAAATTTTTATCATGAAGATGTTAAAGTATCTTATGATGCCTTATTAGCTGAATAAATATGATTAAAAGATTAACTATGGTTGATATAATCCCAAAAAATGCTATGGATGCTTTGATTTCAAACACATTTTAGATTATATTTCCAATGTATTATAATGGTTATATATATACTTCCCATTAGTAAACTAATGAGAGAATTCTCTTTTTAAGAATAACAGAGCTCTGCAGAGGTTTTATTTGCAGAGCACGGCCCTAATTTTTTTTTTAAAATTTTTTCGGCCCAGCCCGGGGTTTTAAAAAAAATTTTTTTAGGCCCAGCTCGGCTTTTGAATTCAGGCCCGATCCGAATTTTTCTAAAATAAATTATATTTATTTTTTATTTTTATAGGTAATAATGGCGATTTCAAATATTTATATAGCACGGCCCGGATATTTTTTTTAAAAATTTTCAGGCCCAGCCCGGGTGTTTTTTTTAAAAAATTTTAGCGGCACGGGTATATTTAAAAATATTAAAATATGGTCCAGCCCGGGTGCTAGGCCTGCAAGTCTCTGAAAAACATACCTATGAAGCAAAACTTCTGAAAGTAGATTAAATGGTTTAGATCTTTTGAATATTTCTAGGCATTTAACGCTAAGCAAGGATGAGATAATTTAAAAATTAGATCAAAACATACAAAATTCAATTATTCCTCAGAAACCTTTTGTGTATTAATTTATATTTCCAACATTTAAATTATTTATACTTTATATATATATTTTAAAGGCTCAAAAATTTCCCAATTTCTATTTTGGGTCATTTAAGTGATTCATATGGTGGTTATATTCACTTTATATTTTATAATTCACATTTATTTCTAAGTTTTTCAATGTCGCTATTTATATCCGTTTAATATTTTTTAATTCACATTTATTTTATAGTTTTTTATATGCCTATACATATAATTTTTTTATAATTCACATTAATATTTAAAATTGTGTATTAGAAAAGTTATTAGTCCTAATAAATTTATGCTCAATGATATAACTTTAAAATTTTTATTACCACCCCCCCCCCTCCCCCCCATACCCCAGACCAAATTATTGCGTACGCGTCTGCTTGGTATAATTCTAATATCAAAGATTGCATACCAAGGCAAGGAGTAAGTGACACTGGTCTTTTATTGTGAGAGATATTTCCCAAACTATTCCTTAAAACTAATTTAAAAAACATGTGATTTTCATTTTATTTTCAAATAAATATTCTTTTTCTCCTAAAATATCGTTAAAATTATGAGCATTTGAAAATTTTACTTATTTGCTCTTTATACCATTGACTGACGCTCTATAAATAAATGGCAATCTTGTTTTATACCAAGCACAATATACCAGTTAACATTCAAAACCATTAATTTTAATTTTGTATATATCACAGCGACATGGAATCTCAATATGATAGGAATTCTAATAATTTAGCTGAATATTTCGTTGTTGCAGGGCTTCCAGAAAAAGATCCAGAGTTATTGGAAAACTGTATTCCAGCTGAGATGGAACCACCACAGGAATTTAAATCAATTCCTCCTATAATTGAATTGGCTATAATATTTAGAAGCCTGGGAGAAGAAGTGAAAACGAAATATTTTTATTATTATATATATAATTTTAATAGCCACCTCCAGGTTTTGTTGTTATTGAAAACACTCCCACAGGGTATCCCGCAGATTTAAATCACGGAAGTTTAAGAAGTCCAAATGTATATCTTTGTTATAAAAGGGGACGAGAAAAACCTCCAATAGTTGATATAGGGTATTTTTAATATAAAATATATTACTCATTCTATAAATTTTATTTTTTTTAAAATTTTATATAAAATTATATTAGAGTATAAAATAATAAATGTTATGATAATTTAGAGTATAAATAATAAATCTTATGATAATTTGAATATAAAATTATTTTAAGATATTATTTTGATATGCTTATATAGAGGCTTCTATATGGGGAGTGAGGGTTATGAAAAATTGATTGAAATTGGAGGAGGGTAGTCAGTTATGATTACAGTATCATTATTTTAAAAGAAGTTGGGAAGGCTTGGGATAGTTTGTTTTTGAATTTATTTTTTTTGTTAATTTTGATCTGGTAAGAAGTTGGTAAATTCTAAAGGGGCAAGGAGTGATATTATCATTCACTGGGGGGAGGGATATGGGTTTAGGAGTCTAATTAATTTAAAATCTGATTTTTTAAAAATTTAAACATATCTCATAAGGAAGCTTTACACTTTTAGAATTTCATAGCAATAATTTATTCATAATATGTTTTTCAATATATGAGTGCATTTACATTAAATGTGTTTAAAATCATGAAAATTTATTTATAATTTATACCTCATCCAGACTTTATATTTAAATACAATAAAATTTTACTTTATTTGTTTTTTAAAACCTAATCTTTGACTAATAAATTACAAAAATTAAAAATTTTGAATATAGAAATAATAAGTAAAAAAAAAGAAGAAAATAATGAAGAAAAAGGGAACATTCAAGATATAAAATTTGGCAAAATTACAATTTATTATATACTTAATAATCTTATCAAATTCATATTCATAATATATGCAAGTAAAATTGTAATAATAAATTTCATATAAAAAAATTTTTTTTATAATAAAAAAATCATAATTTATTTGATTAAGTAACTATAATTAAATTTAAATAAATTTGATTTCTTCTTGAAATTTAATTTAATGTAAAACCAAAAAATTTATTGATTCAATTATTTTCTTATATGTTTTTTTGCATATTTTACTATGTATAAAGTGAAACTTTTTATTGTTATCTTTTGTTATACAATTTTTAAAGAATTATATAACCATAAGTAATACAAAAATCTGAATCCCATAAAATAGTTATCTGATTGAAAATTAAAATATTAAAAATATTTCTCATATCTTGCCCTAGATCAATGAAGTATGTTAAGAATTTTGATGCAGAATTCAGGAATTAATGTTATCAAAAGTGTGTGGCCATGATGCATTACTAAAATTAGCTGAGTTTTTAATGTATCTAGACACAAAAATAACGTATTTGCTATACTTTTATAAAAGTGTCCATATATAGATACTATCTTAGAGGTGTCAGAATTTGTTTTAGATACTTTTAAGTGGTATACTGTAATTTAATGCCTTTTTATATTAAAAATAAAATATTTGAATGCAAAATTCATTTTATCTCATATGAGCATATAATTTAAATGGATATATAAAAATATTAAGACTAATATTATAAAAAATTAAAAAATATTATACAAAATATTTAAACTTATATATAAAATATTAAAACTTATATATAAAAAGATATTAATTAAATATCATTTGTCCCCATTTAAATCTATAGATATCAGTTCAAGATTCTAAAGGATATTTTTATCACTTAAAGTAATATATAAATAATTCCTGCTTAGCCATGACGTCCATTAATGATTAAAAACAATACCATTGATGCACAAAATTATTTTAAGCAAATAAATTTATATAGAATTTTAAATTTATAGATATTTCATTAAAATTAACAAATTATAAGTTTAATATAAATTTTTTTTTAATAATAAATGCTCGTTTTAAATGAGAATTCATTTAATTATTATTTTTATATATGGTGTTCGAATTGACTGAGAATAAAATATTAAAATGTTGTTTACGTATTTTGTGCCATCATAATCAGAGTTTCTGCCCGAGAATAACAATGAACCCTATATATAAAGAGGATAAAATAGTATATGTATCTAGATTCATTTTAGTCGATGTATCTTTATATAGATCCATTTAAAATGTATCTTTTAACAACTCCGAAAATTAGTAATTCAGTGAGATAATTCATGCCTAATTTTATTGAGAAGGGGTATCAAAAACGTAAAAATGTATTAATTTCTATTCAAAAAATAATGGAATAATAAAGTAAAAAAATAAAATGTTTTTATAGTATTAAATACCTAAGAATAATATCGAACGATCAAATAATGAGGATATAAAATACAAATCTAATAAAATCGAAATGAATAATTTGTTCCCGGCCTATTTAAAAGTGGGAAATTAAAATGAAAATTTCTCTTATCCAAATTCTAAACGTTAATAATGTAAACGTTAATAATGTAAACGTTATAAATTGGGAGATTATATAAGCTGATTATACTGTCATGTATAATAATGATAGATTGAAATATTAAATTCTATGGTTTATGGCGAAAAACAGATTATATTTCATTCTATCTTTAAACACATCCTAATTGGAAAATTATTTTTTATTATTATATTTAATTTTGTCAATTAGTAATTGGCTAATAACTTTCTTTAGGACGTACCTTACATTTTAGGTGCACGCCAATTCTTTACATTCTTTTTTTTTGAGACTTGCCGATTAACATATTAACAAGATTTACAAGGGTATAAGACCGCCGATATATTGTTTTTAATTTTTTTTAAAATTTACTGTGGATCCTTACATTATAAACTGCTTTTAATTAGATTCTCCTGACGATGATCATTGTCGGGCTAATATCTATTTGATAATGATGAGCTAATTTGTACTTTAATGAATCTAGCTTTCCATCACTTCTGCATCAGTTTCATTATTGCTGGAGCTACGCTTTATTTTGGTGGTCTCTGTCATGTTGATTCTTGTCCATCAAGAATTTTTAAATATTCAAAATAAGTTAAATATGAGATTTTTTTAAAATATAAAAGCACTATCCTTTTTTTAAAAATGGATATTGATATAAGGAATAGGAATCATATTCGAATTATACTTTGTTAAGAGATAGTCACTGTACCTTTACAAAAAACAAAATCAAACATAGTATAATCATACCTTTCAATTAAAGATAATTTCTGCCGCCTCTTTATTAAAAAAATTTTAATACACTTTTAATGGCTTCTGCTTTAGTAAACCATAATTATATTTTACATTATATACAAGGATTCCATATATCTTTGATCGTACTAGAATTATTACAATTTTAAAAAAATTAAATCAAAGGTTTTTATGACGGTGAAATAATATTACAAATTTTAATTTTTAAATGACCATAATTATAATTTTAATCCTACGGAATCTATCAGAATTTTTTAAAAAATGACAGTATGACGGATCCGGGCAAATTGTTTATATCCGACGGGTTCTTGAATTTTATTTATTTCTCAGCTTCAAATTTAAAACAATTCTAAATGGGGAAACGACATTTTTTGTTTTTTAGTATCAAGATTAGTTTTGTTAAACGGTTGATTTTTAAAAACGAGTAACCCAATATTTTAACCAAAAAAGATTATGCAATTCTAGAGATTTTGCTAACAGATGGCAGAAGGGTTTGGGCATCTATTAGAGAAATCTTTCCTTTCCTTTCCTTTCCTTTCCTTTCCTTTCCTTTCCTTTCCTTTCCTTTCCTTTCCTTTCCTTTCCTTTCCTTTCCTTTCCTTTCCTTTCCTTTCCTTTCCCTTTCCTTTCCTTTCCTTTCCTTTCCTTTCCTTTCCTTTCCTTTCCTTTCCTTTCCTTTCCTTTCCTTTCCTTTCCTTTCCTTTCCTTTCCTTTCCTTTCCTTTCCTTTCCTTTCCTTTCCTTTCCTTTCCTTTCCTTTCCTTTCCTTTCCTTTCCTTTCCTTTCCTTTCCTTTCCTTTCCTTTCCTTTCCTTTCCTTTCCTTTACGTTCCTTTCCTTTACGTTCCTTTCCTTTACGTTCCTTTCCTTTACGTTCCTTTCCTTTACGTTCCTTTCCTTTACGTTCCTTTACTTTACTTTACGTTCCTTTACTTTCCTTTACTTTACTTTACGTTCCTTTACTTTCCTTTCCTTTTCTTATAGATAATTTAACAATATAAATTATATTATTAAATTTATAAGAAATTATTTTTTTAAAAGAATTTATTTTTCGGGAGTTATGGTAGGAGTTCTAACCCCAAGCTTCCTCTCCACTTGTCTACGCCACTGGTTAGAATGCACTTTAGAGAAAACCTACTCTACATCTAATAAATTTCTAAGCTGTTACCAGACGGGATAAACCATTAAAATTTTTAAGAACCATAATATATTTGATTTTATGATTTGTTTTTATTAATTATTGGGGAGGGAAGGGATATAAAATTATCTTGCACGCAATATTTTTTAAAAGAAATCCAATTCAACG